CAGAAAGGTTCCATACATTCCATTCCATTTAATATCTAAACTCCCCATTCCCCTTTTATAGTCAAAAAGCAAGCTCGTGTTAAATGAATTCACATGTCTGGTATGTCCCTAAATTGCCTGTCTTTCAGAAAGCCATAGTTAGTAGGAAGCCTTGAGAGATATATCTCATCCTAGGAATCAGTTTTACCTATTGCTTTGCAAAAAATATTGTCCTGCTGTCTATCCTGACAAAATGAACTACAGCAATGCTTCATAAAATTATACCATAAGCCAAGGTTGGTGAAACTCTTCCACTGGAATTCTATGTTGTGTAAGTCCAGTACTACAGACTGTGTGGTATGAAGAAATCACAGTAATGTTCCTGAAATCTGAAGATAAAAGTGCAGGCAATCCCCAAGATATGAACATCCAAGTTACAAACAACCTGTACTTATGAATGAACTGCCATAAAGCCTATTAATTATTTTTTAAAAATTCACTTTCACTGGGATCCTGATTTACAGAACTGATTTATTTTCTTGCCTTTCTTCACATGCAAAGCTGTGGTTTAATATTTGCTTAGGCCAGTAATGTGCAGACCATAAATAGAACAATCGACTTGTAATTGCTCATAGGGTTTTAACAACTCAACTTATAGATGAATTTCCATTTTCTCAGGAACAGAACTCATTTGTAACCTGGGGACTGCCTATATACTTTCATGATACTACATATTCTTGTCTTCCAAAGGTGTGCTCTAAATTAAAATGTTCCTCTGCTTTTATTAGAAAACCAGTTGCAAAGAGAAATAGCCAACATCCTGAAAGATATTGCTTCCAGCTTTGTCTTTGTCAAAAGAAAAATCCAGCAGTCTATCCCAGGTCACTGATACATGGCCTAGCTTTGTCAACAGTGAGAAACGAGCAACAGGCTATAATTGTATGGGTTATCTCTATCCCCAGATTTAGGAACAGGGATTATATGTCACAAATTTTACTCTGTTGGAAAGGTTTTGTCTGTCAATAAAAGATTAAATACAACAGTGAGGGGGTTGAGCATTACTATCTATACCTGAGGACAATCTTAATGTGTGAGCATCCAGAACATGAGACTTTTGCCTTTTTAGTGTATAATCCTCTTAGTGTCTTCTACATTTCAATGAGCTTTAACATTAGGGAATTTAAAACACACACCACACAAACCATTGGTATCTGACCTCTTTGCCTTGAATTAGCTTTCAAAAGGTATCAAATTACTACTCACTGCAAAGTGTTTAAATGACATGCAACACATTCATCTTCAAAGCACATTTAAATGTCTGACTCTAGAAATAGGAATAAAAACTGTACTGTTAACATTTGATACTATTTAATCTTTTATCTCTCATGCTTTACTTCTCATCTTTCCTTTATCTTTATAAACAGGAACTGGTATAATTTCCCCCGGTTATGAAAAAGAACAATCCAGATAAATTCTACTTCATCTGAAGTGTGCTTATCCCAAAAAGCAAAGACATACTCAATTTACAATGCTGTTGGGAGTGTGAAAGATGGCTGCTTTGGGTGCTGGGCATTCCCAAGGGCTGCTGGCTGGGCTTCAGAAGAATCAGAAACAGAGAAGGGAGAGGAGAACAGGAGAGGGCCTAACAGTGTGGGCCATCCTGAGACACTGAGATTAGAGAAGCAAAGACATTTATCTCAAGGCTAGACTTCCCGGGTGGGCAGGCAGTCTCTGAAAATAACCAAAATGTACAGTTGCTGGGAGGGGACTTGGAGCAGGGAAGCTTCCAAGACTCAGATAAAGCAGGCAGAGCTCTTGACCCCATGGCATCAGCATAGAAAGGCAGCTCAAATTAGAGGATCAGCATGCAGAGAGGAGGAGTGCTCATTTTCATAAGGCCCCTCTCGAAGGGATGGGGCCCAAGCATACTCAATAAAGGACACTTTCCAAGGAAAAGATCTGTGGATTTTGAATGCACTAAGGAGGAACCTTAACTCCCAACAAATGCTAATGAACAGTCATAGTTATGTTCTAAGTAAATGTTGCTTAAACGTAACTAAATTGCAAGCTTGGTAAACCATGCAATTCTCTTTATAGTCAGAAAACTAAGAGCTCATGTCCATGACCAGCAGATATTAGTAGAATAATATCATTTATAATTTCAACAGTGATTATGTCTGGAATCAAGCACTTTTCTGAATGGTTTCTGACAGAAGAGGTTAAAACTGCAGAGAGGTGCGTTATCCTCACCTCTCAAACCCTATTTAGCTTTCTGTTAACATAAAACAGCGCCAGCTTTGAGGCCCTAAGAATAGCATACATCACAAGGAAAAAATTATGACCTGTGCAGGGAGAGGGACAGGGGAGTGCATCCCTGTTGGTTCTCCTGGACCTCTCAGTGGCTTTCGATACCAACGACCATGGTATCCTTCTGGATAGGCTGGTGGGATTGGGGATAGGAGGCACTGCTTGGCAGTGGTTCCGCTCCTACCTTGCCAGCCGATTCCAGAAGGTGGTGCTGGGGGACTTTGACTCTGTGCCATGGTAACTCTGCCATAGAGTACTGCAGGGCTCCATTTTGTCCCCCTTGCTATTCAACATCTACATGAAACCGCTGGGAGAGGTCATCAGGAGGTGTGGGCTGCAGGATCATCAGTACGCTGATGATACCCAGCTCTACCTCTCGTTTTCCACCAATCCAGGTGAGGCAGTGGCTGTGCTGAACCGGTGCCTGGCCGAAGTAATGGGCTGGATGAGGGCCAATAAACTGCTCAGTCCAGACAAGACGGAGGTCCTGTTGGTGGGTGGCTCGGTCCTCGGGATGGGGGACTTGGGCCTTGTCCTAAATGGGGTTGCACTCCCTCTGAGGGACAGGGTTCGCAGCTTAGTACTCCTCGACCCGAAGCTGTCCCTGGAAGCCCAGGTGACAGCAGTGGTGAGGAGCACTTTCCTTCAGCTTTGGCTGATCCATCAGCTGCGTACTTACCTGGAGGAGAACTGCCTAGCAACAGTGACACACACACTGGTTACCTCCTGCTTGGATTACTGTAACGTGCTCCACGTGGGGCTGCTCTTGAAGACAGTCTGGATACTTCAGATGGTGCAAAATAGAGCTGCCAGGATGCTGTCGGGAACTGATCATTATTCTCACATAACTCCAGTCCTCTATCAGCTCCAGTGGCTTCCCATTGAAGTCCGGACTCAATTCAAGGTGCTGGTTATTACCTATAAAGCCCTAAAAGGCTTGGGACCGGGATACCTAAAGGAATGCCTCTTTCCCTATATGCCCTCCCAACCCCTAAGATTGGCAGCAGAGGACCTCCTCTGGGAACTCTTTTTGAAAGAGGTCAGGAGACAGAGTACTCGGAGGAGAGCTTTCTCTGTGGTGGCGTCCTGACTATGGAATGCGCTCCCTAGAGAAGTCTGCCTGGCGCTGTCATTATATGCTTTTCAGTGCCAGGTCAAGACCTTTTTATTTGATCAGTATTTTAACAAAAAGTAATTTTAATTGTATTAGATTCATTTAATTTATTTTAAATAGATCAGTTTTATCCCTAGTTGTGGAATAGTTAATTTATTTTATTTAGGATTTGAAATAATGTTGTAAGCCGTCCAGAGACGACAGTGATAGACAAATTTTCTAAATAAATAAATACCAGTTGGTTCAAATAATATAATGTACTATTTTCACAAGAACATTACAGACTTTCCAGTAATACTCAGTATTTATGTTTTGAGCAACATGGACAGTCTCACATTTTAAATCTAGGGTTGACAGGTTTTACCCATAAGGTTTGGATGCTAGCATTTTGATGAACAGAACTGTGCTCATGGATGCTCCTCCAGAGGAAGGAGGAGGCCAGGGCATTTTTGCCAATTCCCTGTTCAGTCTGCAGCTTCCTGTGCCCCTCTGAAAATCTATTTTGAGGAGCTCTTAGAGCTGCAAAGGAAATGCTGCTGGGGCTGAGGAGGAAACTGGTAAAAATTGCCTCCACACTTCCTGCTAGCAGGAGTCTCTGCTGGATCAGAGTCCCTTCAGAGAATGAAAAGGTGGCTTACAATCCAATGATGAATCATTTCAATATTCTGAGAAAGTGAGATAGAATGTAGCCACTGCACCTTCTGTTCTGGTCCTCTGTAGTCCTTTGCTCATTCTCCTATCCTACTTGTGGTAAAACCAACCAAACAAACCCCAAGCTTTATCTAATGAAGAATGAGGGTAAGTGAAGGCATTGACAAGACCTAGGCTACTGGCAATGACTTGGGATGACTTGGAGGGAGATGGGAAAGGAGGATGAATAGCACTATTCCCAGAAGCTATAGATCTGAGCTCTGAGTCTAACCTGGTTCCCACAACCAGTGACCTATGGAATCCAATACCTATCCCCATCTCTCAAACCAGATCCTACCAACATCCTTAGCACTAAAGGCCTCAAGTATAAAGCCTGTTCAGCCCTTCTTGACCTGCTTCATCTATCTGCAGTACTTCTAAGCTGCTGTATAACAGGGCATCTCACAACAATAAAACAGTTTTGTATTCAATAACAACAAAAGTATAAACACAGTTGCAGAGAATAAACTCTAGTTAAAGTGCAGATAGATTAAAAGGCCTAGATTTTTTAAAAAAATCTTCTCTAAACATGGAAATAGGCCAAGGTAGGGGCCAGGTGAGCTTCTGAAGGAGGGCACTCCATAGATACCATACCAGTACTGAAAGTGAGGAAGGTGAACTGCTGGTGGCTACTGTGCCGTGATCAAGTGGAAAGAAGACCTTCTCCCCACTTTTAAGCACCAAGATCATACATACATGTTGATGTTATCACTGGGGCAACTATCCAATCTCTGTGTGCTGTCTATCTGCACTGAACTGCTTTCTATAAAATGATCATTCTAAACTGTTGGGCCCACAACCACATCGACAGCCTGAAACAACTAGTCATCTTATTTATATTTTATTACATGGAAGAAGTATTTAATTGTAGGCCTTCCCATTCCCATAGAAGACACTCCCTTATACTTACCTTATATTGAATAAAATGGCTATCTGGGTCCACTGTTTCCAAAGTTTGATGTTCTGGATGGTTTGTGAATTGAAAGTTGTCTGGAAAACCAGCACAAGCTTCCCAACTTTCCAAAAAAAAAAAAGATAATACGTAATTGTTACTTAGGAATTCCTTTAATGTTGCTTCCTAAATGTGTATGAAGTCTACAAATAATTTTCCTTTCAACAGTATTTACAAGAATCCTGGACAGGATCCAAACATGCCTTGTGCAATCAAAATGGCACTTTGCTTCCACAAGGGAGAGATCTACCCTAGAGTCCCTTCATTTTTGAGGGAGCATAGTCTTGGTATTTATGCAAAACACATTTATCACAGCTGGAGCACATGCTAATTAATACAGCATAGTTCAAAACATGATTGTTTATCTCACACACAAATAAAATTGTTGGAGAAACTGGAGGAGCTGGAAAGGGGATGTGTGCAGGGTTTCTTTTTAAAAATCCATTAACTAGGCATGTGTGAAGGAGTTAGAGACTTTACAAAGAAAAGGAAATTAGTTCCTTCTGCCCCCTCACCAAAAATCATGGAGGAGGAGGGGAGAGGCAAGGCAGACGCTGTGGTGCCATTTGCTGCCATTCTACCATGGAGGAAGCCAGCAGAACCAGCAACCCATCCTCCTCACCCAAAAGCAAGAAAGTGTACCCTCTCCTGTGCTGACTTTCCCACAAGTAAGCTCTGCTAAAATCAGTATGCTTTACTTGTTAGTAAGGTCACTGATGAGATGGTTATTTACTTCTGTGTAGGCATGTCTGTCAGTTTCCTGAACAAGAGAGCAAAAGAAACAAACACAAAGGCTTGAAAAACATTGCAAACTTCATTTTTTACAAAGGACAAAGGAAGGAGGAGGAAGCAGTATTGCATTTGCAAGTCAGGGAGAGAAGCTGGAGGTGTGTAGACAACATGGAAAGAAGAAATGCAAATGACCATGAAGAAGAACTCTTGTTTGGCTGTTTTGCCAAAACTCCAGTAGGATACTTCCGCTTCTCCACCAGCCTACCTGAAGTCACACTTCCTCGCCAATACAATACCACAAGTTCAGCATAAAATGGTAATAAATACATGGGCAAAATAAAGCATATAAAAAAGTCACGACATAACTAGTCTGAAGATATCCAGAATTTGGTGGCAGAAATAACATGAGGAAGATAGGCTGGGGTGAGAGTGCTATGGCACACCAATGTGCCAGGTATCACAAAACCAGTAGAAATACCTAGTGCAGATTTCCCCCCATGTTGGAACAAAACTCACCAGAGGCCATCCCTCTAGAATTAGTCAACTTCCCCTCATGCTCAGCCCAGTGAGCCAAGCCGAGAGGAATGCTCACAGAATGAAGGCTGCACAATTGGCAACCTGCTTCCATGTCAGGTGCAGCAGCACAAACACTGCTGCAGATGTCATGGAAGAGGGAAGGTGCTGGCACAGTGGTCAGATGGGGCTCCATCCCTTGCAGCCCCATGCAATCAGCTGCTGCACACGGTGCGGAAGAGGAATACTGCTCGCCCAGCAAGCAGGGCTTGTCTTGCTTCCTGGTGAGTAACCTGTGAACAAAGAGCACGTGTTCCAGGAGCTCAGGTTCAGGACTACAGCAAAGTAAACCAGAATCTGGGGAGCCTAGCCCAGGGAATCCATCAGATAGAGCATGGACGGTGTGTGCTGAATTGTTTAAAACAAGTGTGTAAAGTTTTGTGTATGTGTATATGTGTGAGAAAGAGAGAGAGAGTTATCTGATCCAAACTTATATGAATATAATTATTACATAATGTGATTATTTAGAAGTTTAGAAAATAGTTTCAGTAGTTTTGGCTGCTTCAGATTTCAGTGCATTAACTTATTTAAGAGCAGCATGTTTTAGTATTATAAATCCAGCCAAATGTCTCCTTACTTTGATTAGCCACAATATATTACGGAAAATATGTAACAGTACCACATTAGTTGTTCA